TAGCCATAGCCATAGCCATAGCCATAGCCATAGCCATAGCCATAGCCATAGCCATAGCCATAGCCATAGCCATAGCCATAGCCATAGCCATAGCCATAGCCATAGCCATAGCCATAGCCATAGCCATAGCCATAGCCATAGCCATAGCCATAGCCATAGCCATAGCCATAGCCATAGCCATAGCCATAGCCATAGCCATAGCCATAGCCATAGCCATAGCCATAGCCATAGCCATAGCCATAGCCATAGCCATAGCCATAGCCATAGCCATAGCCATAGCCATAGCCATAGCCATAGCCATAGCCATAGCCATAGCCATAGCCATAGCCATAGCCATAGCCATAGCCATAGCCATAGCCATAGCCATAGCCATAGCCATAGCCATAGCCATAGCCATAGCCATAGCCATAGCCATAGCCATAGCCATAGCCATAGCCATAGCCATAGCCATAGCCATAGCCATAGCCATAGCCATAGCCATAGCCATAGCCATAGCCATAGCCATAGCCATAGCCATAGCCATAGCCTTATTTTAAGGAAAATTATTTTAGTATTATCACAAATCACAACACAATATCACAAATGAAAAATAATGGACAAAAATATGGAATAATAATTAATAATAAAGATTGGTGTAACCATACCAAAAGTATTTTCTGGTATGACAAAAAATAAAAAGAAAAGGCCACGGCGTTCATTTATACAAGATGTAGGACTATTCCTTGTAATAACGATATCGTTAAAAGGTGTACAACCTATAACATATAAGATGAATTTTCATTGTCCATCATTTCAATTGACTGTGTGATTTTTAAATGTAATAAAAAAGTTCCTAAAAAAATAATATTTTGTGATTTGTTTTCCATTTTGCTGTCATTGTGTAGGCTAAGAATAGAATATGTTGCTTTAAAATCCATCCAGTAGCCTGCGATTTTTTAAACTGAGCTACCTGCCCCTAATTTCGTTTTGGTCGACGAACATAATTTCTTCCAGGCATCTCTTCGGATGGGCTCCACCCCCCCCCCCCCCCGAAGAAAGTCTGCAGCCCCCCCCCCCCCCCCGAACGAGATGGAATTTACATAGTAAAAATATACTTTTACTAGTGTCATTTAACAACTCCCCTTCAACCGAAAATATCGAGTGCCCCCCCCCCCCCCCAAAAGTAAAAAGTATGGAAGAAACACTGTAAACGAAATCAGCGATCCGTAAACTGAGTTCAACCACAACGATCTTGTTATCAATAGATCTCGAGTATTAATGTATCTTATCTCCCCTTTTAGTATTGAAATTAGTAATTTTTAATTCATTTTAAATATTAAATTTTCCAATTAAAATTAGCATGCTTGTTTCATCATTCAACCTCTACCATTGTGACGAATGTTAGCTCAGACGGACAATGTGAAGTGGCTTAAATTTAGAAAGCATAGCCACAAACATACATACACATACAACCCCCCCCCCCCCACACACACATACACATACACACATACACACAATGAGCAAGTTAAATACAACTCTTTAATAAAAGCTTGTAAAATGCCCACAAGCCACTTGCCAGGAAAAAAAGTTAATAAATAAAGTTCACAATATTGGTATATCTCAATTGTACATTTTGCTAATTAACACAATTCTAAGCTTAAAATACAGAAAATAAATGTATATTATATATTTCCAAGTACACATTTACAGTCATACGTATATGAATATAAAAGTGAAAATGTTTTTTTTCTATTAAAGAAAAAAGTACCATACTGTTACGTATTTTAAAAAAAAAACACCTACAATTCTTAATTCTTTAAAACGTTATCTAAACAAGGTACATTAAAAGAAAATTTAAAAAATGGATACTACCTTTAATTTTAAAATCCTCCGACTACAATTTGCCTCTCTCTTTTGTGAAATGATCACCAACCAACATATGCTTAATAAGGTCATTCAAATGGAAGCGCTTTTGTTCAATATTGCGAGACGTCATGACGTCTACATAGCTTCTATAACTACTGAAACACGTCGACCAAAACGTTGATCAAAAGGATGAAAGGACACTCAAAACAACCTTTTCATATACTGAAGAATAAAGATATTTTATTCAATTAAATATTGACATTGTTTTTTTGGGCAAACGGCCTCCAGCCTCGTGACATTGGCCGCATTTGGTATATTGTGGCGTTTGCCGCATTCGGGCAAAATTCCATTCGGTAAAACTGGGCATCGTGAAACTGCATTCCAGCAAGTGTCTTTCGGCTAAAGATGTTTGTTTTGATAATTTCAAATTCTTTGACATTTTAAGTGGAAACTCGACGGTCAACCATCTCAGCATCAGTTTATTAATCGACATCTAAAATTGTTTATATTTTACAAATACTTATTCTAACAAATCATAAACAGTTGAAACCTAAAATTAAATCTCGTAGTTAATGTTTACATAAAGTCTAAATTGTTGGAAGCAATAGCACCAGCTATGTAGCCCTTGCAGAACAGAAGAAGGGTTAAAAGAAGAGTATAACACACTGAACAGGTTAGTACACAATTGGTAAACTTGGACAAAAATTAACACTTTAACCCCCATGGAGGGCTGCTACAGCCTTGCCCCTGGGCGTATCTTGCCATATAACAATAATTCCACTTCCACTGCGCTAGTCACCCATACCTCTAAAATGTTGTACCAAACCACTGTGTAGCCTCTGGGGTCGTTCGGATGTGTTATGTCTTCTATCACGTGTTGACCTTGTGACTTCAATTAGCTCATTCTCGCGTGCATCTTGTGACATATTTATATTCGAAGATCGATTTGTTGTTCCTTTCAAAATCCACGTGTATCGTCGGTTTCAAGTTTAAAAGAAAATAGAGTTATTAAGCTGTCCACATTAATCAAATAACAAATAGTTGGTCAACCGAATACAAGGGAATTGATTATTTTACCAAATAATAAAATGAACTAAGCATCCAAGTAACGAAAGTATCCTAAGATAACATAGTTTCCTATGTGTGTACACCTCTTAACTTTACATTACCAGTGTCATAAGCAATAACTTAAAAGACTCACAGTGGCTACATCAAATTACCATTTGCACATACTTGGTAAAAGAAGTGTTGTTTTCTCTTGTTTTTATTGTTGTTGTTTCCTTTATTATGCCGTGGTATTTTCCTGATCTGAATATCATTACATTAACATACCAATGTATAGCTTAATTATAATGTACAATTAAAATTCAGTTGCTTTTAAATTAGTTATTAATAAGCATTATTTAAACATCGGATTTTACTACATCGTGTTAACTGTAGTGTCTTGTATATTATTCATGCCGCCTTTTTTTTTTAGATAACAATTCCTCTCTATTTTGTTTCTGGCTGAGAGAAAGAATTGTCTTTTAAATTATAATTGTGTAGGACCTATTCATTAAATTAAAGAAGCTGAGTGTACTGTTTAAACTTTCAAACTTCAGCCATCTTTGTTGGTACTGTTTTCACCTCCTGTGATTGTATTGCGAGAAAGATGACGTAATTTGAATTATGAGGGTGACAAAATCTTTTGTAATGACAGTATCCACAGTTTTAAAAATATATCTATATGATTTAGTATTTGGTTTCTGTAGCAATAACCTTGTAATGCCAACACGACTTACCAGTTTTAATTCTAACTTTCGATTGTTTCACAAAATATGTGAACAAAAGAAACCACAACATAAAGCCACCTGCTGTTGTTTGTTGCGTTTTGAGCCTCAACTTTGTGTTGTATACAAGCAGGCTTTGTTTTGGAAATGATTTTAAGCTGAGTCATGATGAATTAAGAACAAGTCAACCCAGCTGTCTTTTTATGTGTTTGCTTTTATATTCTCTTAAGTGAGCACATCAAGAAGTATCAATGTTTTGTTTTATCGGTGCATTGATTTTTTTTTAATTTGGATATTTTCAAATGGTTAATTTAAATCTTTTTTTTTATCCGAAACGTTTTTAAATTGTACGAGTAAAAACTTTTTTTTTACCTCTCGCCGTTTGACTGATGTTTTATCTCTAGCCGTTTGTCTTAAGTTTTACCCCTCGCAGTTTGTCTGAATTTTTACCTCTTGCTATTGTCTGATGTTGTGTATATCACCAAAACTGTATTTGAGCGTATTGCTGTGTAAACAATGCGCATTGTTTATTAGTTGATCAATGAAGAAATGATTATTTTAAAAATATTTAAAATTTAATAAACATTTTAACAATTGCAAATGTAAAACGTTTTTTTTTTTGGTGTAAAATCAAGGAAACGTAAATATAATTCGAAATGTGAATGTTAATGCATTTCATGGTTTTTCTTAAAATCTTGTAATTGTTTTGTGTAACCCTCTTCGTGCTGACGAAAAAGCACGAATTCATAACCTTTAATAAACCTCACGTTCCGCATTTTAATGATATTAAAACAAAGGTTTCGAGTGGTGTTAGGTCTAAGCTTTCTCAACTTAATTCTTGAGGAGCTCATTAGAATAAAATATAATATATTTATTAATGAGAATCTATTAACTGATCTTCTACAAAAATATGTTTCTATACGTTTCTATACGTCAGATGAATATACATACCTAATTACAAATCTAACGAACTACAAAAGCACGGCTTAACATCACGTATGCGTATAAAAAAAACGGGATTTGTGAGATCAATGACCAAACACACCGTAAAGGCGATTAAACACGAAAGTAGAGGCAAGAGCCTGTCGAACGTAGCTTGACAATATGTTTTATCATCGGTTTCTTTGATAGACGGATTACAAAGCTAATAATTTAACACGAACGTTAGAAGATTTATCTCACACGATCAGAGTTTCATCCAGGCTTCTCGACCATTTGTGCCCCAAGTGTGCTTTAATCAAGTCATGGAAAATAATTTGTAATTCAAGTTATTTTTTAACGAAAGAACCTATAGTATGAAACTTAACTAGTTCACGGAAAACCAATATAATTGCAGAAGCCAAGAAAACAGAAGTTTTGTTTTAGCCTTTTCAGCCGCCTCCTTACAAACATAACTCAAACAAAAGTACTGAGCGTCGGTGTTGTGAAGACCAAACTGTCCATCAACACACGAGTACCCTTGTATGTCCAACTCCTGCTTGTGCCGGAACTCTGGTGAGTACATCGCTCCAATGATCTGCTTGTCTGTACTAGACATGTTGGCTTTGAGCAACTCTTGTAATGTAGCTTTATATGACTTGACGAATGTTCTTAAAACCTGTGGATTCGAGTTTTTCTGTTAAAGAATCTGCGACAAATACCTGAATATAAAGACTTACATTTTAGTGACAGTTACTTCGTTACAATTTAGGTTAATATTTACTTTACCAGCACCTACTTGGTGTTTGCCCATGACGTAACCACCAGCTAACCACACGTAGCTATTCTTAATGCAGTCCCAAGGGCTGAACCTGTCCATTGCATTTCTTGGAACCACCTCAGTAAAACCAACTTTACTGTTATTGAAATTTTGGGAGATCTCCAATCTGAAGCTTCAGTAGTTTTGTCCCATTCTATCATTGAGTAGTTTCCTACTTTCGCAAATAAATTTATCTGTGAAAATGTATATGCGTGCCTTATGTTTCTTATTGTGAAAAAAATGTTAATTCCCCCTAGCATTGGTATGAATATTCATTCGGAAATGACGGTTTGGTGTAGATATATTCTTTCTAACCTTAACTACCTTCGTTGAATTTCGGCCGTTTCTAGTCACCGTGATTACTAATCAGAACAAGGGTCATTGCAGATCAAAGCTATGGCTATAGTTTAATATTGATCATATCCAAGTAGGCCCATACCTTTACTTGGTAAGACTAATGTCCATCCACGCCATATACGTTGTCTGTACCAGTTTGTGGTCCATTGCCAAGATCAGGACGTCGTATTTAGCACTCATGGTGCAGCTGTAGTTAGCGTCGATCATGGTGGGCGGTAGCGTAGACTAAGCATGGTTATCTGTAATTTAGGAAGATACCCACGTATTTCTTTATAGTAATTTAAAGAGTAGTGTGTTATTAAATATTCAACGAAAATCATTTATTTTCCACTTGTTAGTGCATTATTACATAAAATTATTATCAAATTAAATTATTAAATTATTATTAAAACATTTTCTATGATTTTTTTCCGTATTGTAGTTTTTTTAATGCAATAAATTTGCATGACTAAAAACCATTGCGCACCTCATGAATGTGATAAGGCGCGTATAATTTTGTGGAATAGTTGGATAAGACAGCTTTTTCTAATTTGGAAATTTTAAAAATTAATACATCTATCTATATATATAATTCTCTTCTGGGAGCCGCTAGAAAACAAGCTGTAAACGCGCTCCCTACCATCCCCACCCCTACATGGTCTTAGTGAGCTGTGTTTACTCTAAATGTTTACAAGCAGAGACAATGATTTTAAACGTAGGGGGGAGGGGGAAGGAAGGGGGGGGGGGGGGGTTATGGTCCTTAACGAACTACTTACAGTGTTTTAAAGAAATATTTTCAGTGGCAGCGTTGGTACTGTCGAACTCACAAATTATGAATTACTAAAAAGTAGAAAAAACAACAACTAAATAGCGGCGTATGTTATGCCGCGGGCCGGCTCGTATATATATAATTCTCTTCTGGGATCAGTTAGAAAACAAGCTGCTAGCGCGCCTTTGCAGCCCCCTCTCTTCCTCTCTATCATTATCACTACCACCCCCACCCCACCCCCACATGATCTGGTGAGCGGTGTTCACTCTGTTTACATTTTACAATCATAGTGACGGGTTTGGTGACGGCTATTAGGGGCAGATAATTTAGTTTGAAACGATGTTAAACTTAGAGGAGGTAACTAAGAGGAGGCTGCTTTCACGTGGGGGGGGGGAGGGGGGAAGGGGGGTTTAGTGTTTTTAAGCAAATATTTTCAGTGGCAGCATTGGTACTGTCGAATTCACAAATTATAAATTACTGAAAAGTAGAAAAAAAAACTAAATAGCGGCGTATGATACGCAGCGGGTCGGCTCGTAAAAAATAATTTAAGCATACCATTATGTCAAATTTAATGTCAGATTGTATTGGTTTCGTGTCTTTACCCACGTGCCAATTTTGAACCAAATCTGTCAGTTAGAAGTGCCCGAAATTTCACTCAAGCGTTCGATCTAGACAGACTGAAGAATGACTGACCACAACTAGACAGACTTTACAGTTAAATCAAAGCGTGTAATAATTAATAGCCGCCATGAAGACACAATTTGACAAAAGGAAAATATATTACAAGCTTTTATTTACTTTCCTTGTCATGTTGCCGTGTTGTCTTAGATCAAAATGGACGAGCGAAATTATTTAATTTAAACTATTATAAAGAAATGTTTTTCTTAATAGTTAATTTAGAAAGAAGTGCTGTATTATATATTTTAAAAAAAAAAATAGTATTTCCACTTTTTAGTGCATTACAGAGGCGTAGCGAGGGGGGGGGGGGGGGGCGGGGGGGACATATGTCCCCGGGCGCCGACCTTAGGGGGGCACCAAATTGAAAGTTTGAGGGGGTTGCAAATGAAAAGTTCGAGGGGGGGGGGGTGCAAATCAAAAGTTTGAGGGGGGGGGGGGTGGGGATGCAAATCAAAAGTTCGAGGGGGGGATGCAAATCGAAAGTTTGTCTCCGGGCGCCGGGAAGGGTCGCTACGCCTCTGGTGTATTATTACACAAAAGCGTGTTATTAAAGCGTTTTTTATGCATTTTTAAAAATTCTTACAAAAACAAATGCTCGGATGTTGTATTTATTTAGCTAATACATTGTTTTGTCCATTTTTAACTATTTTTACCTATTAATTTTTTTAAAGTTTAGATTTTCAAAATATTTCAATCACTAAAGGAAAAGAATCAAATAAATTGCCTATAACATGGACTCACCATTCGCTTACAGCACAGATAATCGTGTGCAGTTTTTCTTCCAGACTTTTTTCTCCGAGGGGGCACTTGAAATCTTCGGGGGGGGGGGGCGTGTTACGTTCTGGGTTCGTTTCAAATCAACAACAACACTTCGTGCATAACTTCACTCCTTTTATTCGTCTCAATGCATTCAAGCGTACCAGAACAGCTCTCGTCCTAACCGCTACTAACCCGCTGACTGACCACACAATCGTTCACTCGCCCTTTTATACCCGCATTCGACCTTGGGATTACAAGACATAAACACACAAGGGTAACTACACAGTAAGGTGAACTCCACTCACACAGGCACTCTCCCCTAGTTCTAGACTATTCTAACCTATTCTAAACTAACCTACAACTGGCTTGTAACACTACCCCCCACCTAAGTATTTGTAGTAATAACTACAAATACTGACTAACAAATCCTAGCTAAATTAAAAAACACAAAGCCTTTCATACACATACACTAGTAGACAAGTTAAAAATATACATTCCGAAGAATGTATATGACAGATTGTATATACAATGAAATACATAATGACAACATACAGAACTGCTACAATTTCGAGCTAGCACAAATCATCCGTGTAACTAACAAACAAAGAAAAAATCATACACACCCAGTTGCATCGTACCGAATCTAAGAACTTTCCAGACCACAATTTTTTTGAGTCTACCCTGTGCGCTCTATGGCTACACTGGTGTACGACTCCTACCTATATCTCAACCATTCTACATCACAAAAATTTGAGTCAACCTGCGCTCTATGGCTACACTGGTTTACGACTCCTACCTATATCTCAACCACTCTACATCACAAAAAATTTGAGTCAACCTGCGCTCTATGGCTACACTGGTTTATGACTCCTACCCATATCTCAACCATTCTACATCAAAATTTGAGTCAACCTGCGCTCTATGGCTACACTGGTTTATGACTCCTACTCATATCTCAACCATTCTACATCACAAAAATTTGAGTCAACCTGCGCTCTATGGCTACACTGGTTTATGACTCCTACCCATATCTCAACCATTCTACATCACAAAATTTTGCAACTCACATTCGATGTTATTACATACTCTGTCATACAGCTATAGCGTCGGGCTAACGGCATCCCCACAGCATTCAACAAACGTCAGGACAGCAACCGGCAAACATCAGGACAGCAACCGGCAAACGTCAGGACAGCAACCGGCAAGCATCAGGACAGCAACCGGCAAGCATCAGGACAGCAACCGGCAAACGTCAGGACAGCAACCGGCAAACATCAGGACAGCAACCGGCAAACATCAGGACAGCAACCGGCAAGCATCAGGACAGCAACCGGCAAACATCAGGACAGCAACCGGCAAACGTCAGGACAGCAACCGGTAAACATCAGGACAGCAACCGGCAAACATCAGGACAGCAACCGGCAAACGTCAGGACAGCAACCGGCAAACATCAGGACAGCAACCGGCAAACATCAGGACAGCAACCGGCAAACATCAGGACAGCAACCGGCAAACATCAGGACAGCAACCGGCAAACATCAGGACAGCAACCGTCAAACATCAGGACAGCAACCGGCAAACATCAGGACAGCAACCAGCAAACATCAGGACAGCAACCGGCAAACATCAGGACAGCAACCGGCAAACATCAGGACAGCATCAGGACAGCATCAGGCAAACGACAGGACAGCATCAGGCAAACGACAGGACAGCATCAAGTTTATGCTTCTACTTGATTCATACTGGTCACGAGTTGTTACGTTCTGGGTTCGTTTCAAATCAACAACAACACTTCGTGCATAACTTCGTTTTGTCGGCCTACCTTGTGTGTTTTTTCTTATTTCTTCAGAGTGCTACTTTTAATTTATTTTACATCATAGCGAAGTAATGACATACAGCTAGTAATTATATATATATATATATTATATATATATATATATATATATATATATATATATATATATATATATATATATATATATATATATATATATATATATATATATATATATATACGTTTATAGAACGTGTTAAAAATTCGGCGCCTTATTTTGCTCTTTTTGCTCCCCCTACAACGAAAACCTGGATACGCCTCTGCTTAGACCTAACACCACTCGAAACCTTTGTTTTAATATCATTAAAATGCGGAACGTGAGGTTTATTAAAGGTTATGAATTCGTGCTTTTTCGTCAGCACAAAGAGGGTTACACAAAACAATTACAAGATTTTAAAAAAACCATGAAATGCATTAACATTCACATTTCGAATTATATTTACGTTTCAATGATTTTACACCAAATTACGTTTTACATTTGCAATTGTTAAAATGTTTAATAAATTTTAAATATTTTTAAAATAATCATCTCTTTACTGATCAACTAATAAACAATGCGCATTGTTTACACAGCAATACGCTCAAATACAGTTTCGGTGATATACACAACATCAGACAATAGCAAGAGGTAAAAATTCAGACAAACTGCGAGAGGTAAAATATCAGACGAACTGCGTGGGGTAA